TACGTTTAACCAAGATTTGCTTGAATTATTAGTAAATTTAGTAAACTTGTAAGGAGGACTAAGTATAAAAATCTATAATGATTTTTTAAAAATAACAATGGCTAAACAATGCCATAATCAGCAAAATGATAATTTTGAGAGCATTCAATCTCGTGTCCCGTTTTTGCCCTGTATTCAGCAAGCTCAGATTTTTGAACCCAACAGCCTTTGCAGGCGCTTTTTTGCTCATAACCCTTTGTCGAATGGGACGACAAGTCTCTCCAGCATAAAAGTGACCACATGAACACATTATTTTGTGGCAACTTGATCTGGATAATGGGTCAACTTTTTCTCTAAAAGTGAGTGTCGTAGTTTCCCTGAAGACCATTTTAATTCCCATCTTCGTTACTTGTTCACCTTTTCATCTTTTTAGAGACAATGCACGAAGGTAAAGACAAAACATGAAAAAAGGTCTCCTTATCTCTCCTTACGTATTCACCATTCAAAAACTATTCTTTATTCTTCTATAGGCATCCTTGCTTAACTTCTCACCTGCTCTGATCACTAAGACATCTCCATCTCTATTGTCAATTTAAGATTGCAGTCAATCTGGTTAATTAAAAACAATAAATTATCTAAAATATCCTTGCCATGCTGCCATATGGCAAAGTAGTCATCCATATATCTAACTTACAGTTTGGGTGTCAATCTTACCTTTGCCATGAAGTGTTCCTCCATTCATGACATGTAATTATTAGCCAAAATGTGAGCCAAGCAAGACCCTATTGCTAGGCTTTGCACATGTTCATAAACCTTATCATGTGTGCTGCTCATGGATAGATTAAAAAGCCTTACGATTGAGCTTTTGTTCAGATTTGCATCCCCAATAATTTCTGGGTGCTCATCTAGGCTGAGTGTAATTGCTTCAATAGCCTTATGAACTGGGATGTTAGTATACATTGATACCACATCAAGACTATTAATCTAGCAAATTCATATAAATTCTAAGTTCAAAATACCATTTTCACTCACCTATATTAGTACGTGCTTTTACACCAGCTCTGTTCCATACAGCCTCTTTCATTCGCTCAAGTTCGCTCTGGTATTTCCGCTTTTCATGAATACTCTTTTCTTTTGCATCACGTAGAGCACATTCTAAGTCCTTAATTCGCTCCACATTTGCTCTTAGACGCTTTTCGACCTATAAATTGAGACAAATTTAATAATAGCAGCATTTGATGGATTATAATAATATGATGTTAATAGAGCACTTTTACTACATGATAAGGCCCAAGTCACATATATCTGAAAGTTCTATTAAAGATTAGACTAGTCTTTACTCTTATCTAGTAATTATGCCTAATTTGGACCTAGAGATTTGATTTATTTGAGCAGTTTGCACTCTTTACATGTTTTAAAAACATTCGTGTTTTTATGAAGGATGCGTGTAAAACCAAATAAGTATAGAAATAAGCTAAACTTTCTGCTAGTGATCTAGTGTTATGCAGACGTTTGAACTAATAGCTGCAACTATTTTTATATAAAATTTATTCCCTCTATTTCGTTTAAGGTGATGAACGACTGATAGTTTAATTTTTCCCACAATGATATGAGCGAAGCTTACGCTTCCATTGAATTTCACGTAGCCTTGCTTTCGCAGGTGTTCTTAATCAAGGTGGACTTCAGTTTTGACCTCATCTAGACCTTATCAACACTTTCAGCAGGAACCGAGCCATGACAGTACGGCGTGTAATCTCGGCACCTTAAACAATACGCCACATTCGAAGGTATGAAGACCAAGATGGTGTGGCCTTTTGTGTGGTCGCAGTCTCCTTTCGTTGTATAGGGGTTGTTTTATCTTGTTTTCGCAACAGTCATATTGGTAGGAAGACTTATTGGAACGCACCTAGTCCGGGGTCCATTGTCTGCATGATCATTTGCAAATGGTCACATTGGTAGGAAGACTTATTGGAACGCACCTAGTCCGGGGTCCATTGTCTGCATGATCATTTCCAAAGTTGAGACGTAGACGTGGTACATTCCCAGACGTTTCGCCGGCCTCCTAGTCGACATCATCAGTGAGTCTCGCCATTCTTAGCACCATTCAATAACTCGTCAAAGAGACAAGTAAGCCGATCCTTTGACCAAACGTTTGCTAAACAGTTGTGGATCGGCTTCACTTGTCTCTTTGACGAGTTGTTGAATGGTGCTAAGAATAGCGAGACTCACTGATGATGCCGACTACGATGTCGGCGAAACGTCTGTGAATGTATCACGTCTACGTTTCAACTTTGCAAATTATAATGCAGACAATGGACCCCGGACTAGGTGCGTTCCAATAAGTCTTCCTACCAATATGACCATGTTGCG